TATATTCAATCTTGTAATTAATTTTTTTCTGTCAAATATTTTGTTTTAAGTCATTACCATGAATCAAAATCTCTAATCGTTAATCAAGATGATGTTTTTTTCATGCGTTAAGCTCCATTCTCTTAGTTAAACTGAGATCGACATAGTTAACTATATCCAGAAATCAGTATAGTAAGTAATTATATATGTTTTCTATTAATAGTTAACTATTTATGTTATTTTTTATTATAATATATAACTATATGTGTTACTGAAAATAGTTAACTATGTATATTTTTCATTATAATAGGTAAACTATATTTCTAATAATAGTTAACTATATATATTCTCAACGTAGTCAACTATATTTGTTTAAACAACACTATTTTAATGTAGTCAACTATATATGTCATAAAACTAGCATAGAGTAGATCATTATGCTCTGAAAATAGTTAAGTATATTTTCTAAAAAAATTAACTATGTTTTTAGTTAGTTACAAATAATGTGATGTAGTTAACTGTGTTATAAGATCAATTGAATAGATAGTTTCGAAATAGTTAACGATATTTATATATTATTTTTTTGTCATTTTATGACCTAATTTTTGTTTTCAGAGAAGTTGGGCAAGACACATTTACTTTTTGAGAGAAACAATTATAGGAGAAATTTCCCAGAGATGAAATCAATAAAAGATTTTTATGGATTTTTTTTTGTTTTATTTACCTTAATTACAATTGTGTGGGCAATTTCTTCATATTTTGTTTCCTCTCTGTTACTTACCTAAATATTTTTTTGGATATATTACTTAGAGAAATTTTAAAAAATGCCACTTTCCAAGTGCCATTTTTCAAAAATATCATCTTTACAAAATCTTTGCAAAAATGCCACTTTTCAAAATTATTTTTCATTATATAATTTATGTTTGGGTTAACTATGATGTATAAGGGTTTAGTTTTGAGTGTTTAAGAAGTTTTAGGGGTTAAAATATTTTTTTGGGTTTAGAATTTTAAGATATAGGCTTTATAAATCTAGAATTAGTGACATTTTTGCAAATAGACACCCCCTAAGTGACATTCTTACAAATGTGCACACAAAAAGTGGCATTTTTGCAATTGATTCTATTACTTACCTAATTTCTTCTTTCAA